AGCCAAACATCCTAAGCGGCGGAGAACTAGCAGCAGCACCTCAATCAATGTTCAAATTGATGAGCCAGACAGAGCTGGTGGTTCATGGGAATGTCAAGTCGTATTTGAGGCCAATACTGACAACACAAACACTCAAAATGTGAGTGTCTTTTGTGTGAATAGAATTGAATGACTTGTTCGGGTGAAGAACAGTGCTGCAAAAAAACAAAAGCAAAACTACAATTGAAGAGATTTTGTTAGTGAACAGTTGAGGTTCTTTAGAATAAAAAAAAAGCTTGATTCTTGATAGATTTTAAAGTTTATGCGATGCTTATATTTTCAATAATTGTTTTTTTTTTTATATAGTAGTTGCTGTGTAAGGTTTCAAAGCATGTCCATATCACTTACAGTATCCTTCCCCTTTTGCCAAATCTGAAAATCTTCAAATTATTGATAATGTTTTAAAACTACTATGTTACATGTATGATATTATTACGTTAAAATTGTTTCCAAACATATGATAAAGACACTCTTACTCATTAATACAATAATAATGTAGAAGTATGTAGTTATGGTATATTCAAAACTTGTAGTACTTATATTAAACATACATGATGATTTATTATGATTAATCAGTGGTTGTGCAGTATTTTCTTCATGTGTGGCTTGATTACTTTAAGGAACATGGGTAATTGACATGGACATATTTTAAATTATTTCTATGTAAAGCTGTGCCATCTTTATTTTCAAATTTTTTATTTTGTAATAATTGACATTGATTAAAAATTATTTACCAGTTAAGATTAATTTGAGTGCTTTAATACTAAAAATGACTTAGAAAATTCATGAAATTGCTGAAAATATAAATAAAAAAAAACAAACAGGTTTTAGAGCAACATCCACCGTGAATGTGTGTGTGACTTTAATAATTAAAAGTGATTTTTTCCTTATGCGTACAAGACTTTGTATGTGGCTCAGTGTGCTCACATTTATTTATTGTTATTCTAATTGTCATCAATCTTATAAAGAGCACTAAAACATTATGCTATAATGTACCATTCAGGATACAGTGGTAGTTGAATATGATTCAGACTCTTTTTCTGTGGAATATGAAGTGGAGTCCAGTTCAGACAACAGCCCTATGGATGGACCTCTGGAAGTCTCAGGAGAGTCTGATGTTAGCAGTTCAGCGGCAAAAGATGTAAGCATTCTGTAGTGACAGATAGAAAAGTATATTGTTTAATTTTAGCCTACTTATCTTATAGTTTAAATATGTTCATTTTAATTTATAAAAGTCTGTGATGTTCCATCACTTTTGTGCTACTGTAATACCCAGCTATACCCAATCATGGGAAAGGCTTCAGGAGTCAACCCTGAGGAAAAATCAGGAGCTGGTGACTCTAAGGCAGTTTGCAGCACCCAGTGCTACATCCTGGCAGAACCTTCTACGTCTCTGACCCCCAAACTGTATTGACACCATGTTCCATCACTTTTGTGCTACTGTAATACCCAGCTATACCCAATCATGGGAAAGGCTTCAGGAGTCAACCCTAAGGAAAAATCAGGAGCTGGTGACCGTAAGGCAGTTTGCTACATCCTGGCAGAACCTGTGACGCCACTGACCCCAAACTGTATCGGCACTGCCGTTCCTTTGGATACATCAGCTGCGTGGAGAGGGGGGAACTGATGTGTGAGCAACATCGTTCTGACCACAGCTAATGCCCAGGCATTCATCTCATTTCCATGAGATGATCCATAGTCGCTTCGCTACTGAAGGAGGCCATAGAATAAATTAGTACTTGAGTGTTAAAATTCACATCACATATTAGCATGGTTTAGAAAGTTAAAGATAAATAGTTTTTTGGGTACAAACTTAGTTACTCTCAGTTACTGGTTAAAAAAGGCTCCTAAAGCTAAATTTCATAGCTTAGAGCACATTGTATTTTCTAATTTAAACACGATTAAAAAGTAGGCACCTCGTGCAAGGCAGTCATACTCACGTATGTTACACACAAACTCATTCTTAATTCATACTTGCAGGTGAACTACACATTTAAATATTATTTTGAATGTTTAACGTATATGCAAGTTGATAAGAGAAAAAAATTGTTTTACTATTTACCTAATATTTCGCCTTGTCCCAGAGACTCCAAGCCATCAGTATTCTTAATATTTTCATGTTTCTTGAAAAAAAAAATTCAGGCTGCACTGGTGATTGTGTGCGAGACTGATGTGGAATACTTAGCAGACTACAGTGACTCTGATAATGAGAGTGAGACAGAACTTACTGAATTTGTAAGTGTTTACATCAGTGCTGGACTAGTAGTACTGGTGTCATAGGGATTGTTACCATTGTCAATTAAATATAATAAAGCTCTTTGTTAGAACAGTGGATAGTCTAGTTTTTGGATTACAAGAAGCTTCCATCTCTTGTTGAACACAGAATATTTGATATAAGCACCAGCAAGTTCCATGCATTATTACATAATAGAAAAAATATGATGTCACTAAAGCACTGTTGATTTCTTTATAATAAATGATGTCAACTTGATGGTCTTAGTTTGTCATATTTCATTGTATTGTTTCAACTTTATTGGATAGTGAAATAAATAGGACAGTCTCAAGGATATTGTTTTCATTGAAATTCACAAATAAAACTGAACTTTTTTTTTATTCTATGGCTAATTAACTCAAACAAAGTAAGGAAGTACTATCATAAACTTTAGGTCATATTTACTGGATGTACAAAGTACAGAATGAAAGAACTTAATGAGAATAAATTTAAAAACATCAAACCTTTTCAATGTTTTTTGTTTGACCCACGTGAAATACTGCATTCCTCATTTTAATTTATCTTCGGACTCGAAGACAAGCCTTATATATTTTTTTAAGTCATCACCTTAATGCTTGAAAAATACATCTATGGCAATATATTTTGTATTATTAGTTCCCATTAAATGGCAACAAATCTAACTTGAAGTTTTAACTATGTCAAGCTGTTTAGAAAAAATAATGGGTGTAATAAAAAGCAATAATGTTTATCCTTGTTTTATTTAGGACAAGTGGTGCTGTGAGTACTGCAAACTGAAAAATCCACCATTCCAGAGAAATTGTGGGGGGTGCTGGAGTGTTCGACCGGATTGGCTGCCACAAGTATCAAACAATGGTACTGATGAGACCTGCACTCCTAGCCAGGATAGTATTACCACAGAGGATGCTAGCTGCTCCCAAAATAGCAACTTAAACCCTACACCCTCATTGAAAATGCAAGACTGTCCCTCCTCCGATTCAGAATCTAAACTGGACATTGAGGTGGATGGGGAAGGGTGCACAGAGAAAAACAATTCTGACCTGTGTGTGATTTGCTACTCACGCAGAAAGACAGCCAGTCTTGTTCATGGCAAGACAGGACATCAAGCCTGCTGTTATAAATGTGCAAAGAAATTGAAAAAGCAGCGCAGGCCATGTCCAATATGCAGAAAGCCAATACAGAAAGTGATTCGAAATTTTAATGTGTAAAATTAGCAATTCTAAATCTTAAAAGATGGGTACTCAACTACAGATTTTTTCTCTAACAGTATGCAGCATGTTAAGCAATTGTTTCTTCTTCTTTTTGTGTTTCTGTAAGTAGAAAGATATTTCTATATATGGTAACTGTTTGACACACTGGTCTGTTCATAATTGATATTGATCTATGTTTATCTCTTGTATGTGCTGGAGACTTGTTATTTATATTATAGAGTATATTTAACTATGAAGGATATTTGCAGCAGCAAAGTGTTTTTGTTTTCTAAGCTGAATTTTATACATTTTATTTAAACCAATGTTAAAATGGACAAACACTGTAATGCAATGTTTATATAAGATACTTCTAATTTTTGAAAGCCTCCACAGATAGATGCCTTATTGTTTGGTTGTGCAATGTAAAATCCTTTTTTTTTTTGGCAGACTAAAACATTAAATACCTTGAGTACTGGAAGGGTCGACACACTTTTTATCTAGCAATCAGTTTGATGTATAGAAAAAGAAATGAACATAATTCATGACAGGTCCATGTAGCATAAAAAGAACTGAAATTGACACCCAAGAAAACAAGTTTTTGGTCCGCCAGTCTCTAAAATAGTACACTTCATCTTCAGACTTGAAGACAATGTCTTATAATTTTTTTTTGTTCTTATTTCCTGCCACTACTCAACAAATAGATTAGAATCGATAAAAAAAATATTTTTATTTCAAACAAATGTAATATAACATTTTAGTAGCTGTAAAACAGAACGTAGAAATGCCTAGGAAATAGAATGCTTTCTTATAATTTTTAATTTTCAAGATTGAGAAAGAACATTATTGTTTTAGTTTGTTTTTATGCTTCCATATTTGGTATGTTTTTCAAATTGTATTTAAAACTGGTTACATTATGAACTATTATATACATGCGTTTGTTTAAACCAAATATCTGAGAATAGAAAATAGTGAACCAAAAACATTTAACTCTATGTGTAGAAATTACACAGTGATTGTTAACTATTATCCTTTCTTATTATGATATAAAGATTGAAATGTCCTCTCAAACATTGTTTTGAGCTAACATTTCATATCTCCAACTGAGTCCATTTATTATTGCGAGCTGTCCATATAAAATGCATTACCATTTATAAAATAATAATTTGTTCTGATTTAACATATGTCTCACTGTTAAACACATATTGTCAACAGTGCTAATCTATCCTACACATCTTTCAGTGTCAGCGTTTTAAAACCTTCCACATAGCTTTAGTATCTTATCATAATGCTAGCTGTAGTCTTGTTCTTAGGATTTTGTTTCTAAGTGTGTACTGTAATTGTGATCAGTTTGTTTCTAAGTGTGTTATGTAATTGTTGTGATCAGTTTGTTTCAAGTGTGTACTGTAATTGTTGTGATCAGTTTGTTTCTAAGTGTGTACTGTAATTGTTGTGATCAGTTTATTTTAAGTGTGTACTGTAATTGTTGTGATCAGTTTGTTTCAAGTGTGTACTGTAATTGTTGTGATCAGTTTGTTTCTAAGTGTAAGACACAAAGAAAAAGTGATGTCTACTAGCAAGGTTGGTAAGAAACTTTAGCATGAGGCTTGCTAAGAATCCTTTTGCTTGTAAAGACAGTAACTGGGTTTGAAGTGTTAGATTTTGAAAGCCATGCTGTAGTCCTATTGAATGTGCAACATTTTTGCCTGGTCTTTGACTTATTTCTGCTTTTTGCATTATGTGTAAAGATATGTAACCTGCGCACATCATAACCATCCAACATTATATAGTTATATATATATATATATATATATATATATATATATATATATATATATTATATTAATAAAATGCAGACTGCCGCTTACCCTCAGAATATCTAGCCAGTATTTTAGTAGTTTTATCTATAAATTGTCACTTGTAGAGAACTTATTTCACATCACCAAACTTTGATCCATTTTTTACTTTAAATGCTACTTTGCTGTTTATTTAGTAGTCATTTCAATTTTTAAAATACTTTTCTAGAAGAACTGGAATATACTCTTTTTAAGAAAATCTCCAAATAAGAGCCTTCTTAGATCACAGTTTGATGAGTTGTTTTTGAACTTGGATAAATCAATTGTTAACAAGGTTAGACCTCTGACCCTGCCTGTCATCCTTCTCCACTAGAACATTGGCAGGCCCTTGGTCTATGTATATGTAACTATAATTTAATCTGATTAGTCTTAACAACAGTTGTACAAAAAAAAACTTATTAAATGTTATGATTTCCATTGTACCATGTCAACATGACCTTACCTGACACCTCTTTGCCCCTGTGAAACTGTGTTTCTGACCAAAGTTTGAACGTATTTAACTTTTTTTCAGTGAGTATGTGAGACTGGTGTGTGCACTGAGAGCTCAGCGTGTTGGTCATTTTTATTTGTAAATATTTGTTTTAATAAATTGTTACAGTCTCTTGACTTATTTATTTTAAGTATTTGTTTTTTCTTCAAATTTTTATTACACACAAAAAGCAACATTTCTATAGCAAAATTAAATTGAAAACAGTCAAAATATTTTTTTAAAATCCTTTTTTATTTCATTAAAAACAAAGCTTATTTAAGGGCTAGAACTAAAACTTACGAGTGGGAAGCGTGGTCTAGCGGCCAAGTATGCTTAGGCTTGGCTTGGCCTCCAATGAAGGGGTTTCTAGGTTCGACACCCGACTCGAGTAGAGTTGTGATAACCGAGCGCCTAAAGGCAACTGAAAATCTACCCACTCCACAAATGAGATTGGACCAATAGCGCTATAATTAACTATATCTCTGAATAATGCAGTACTTTTTCCTTTATTGAATATCTAAATTAATTTCAATACTTAATTGACATATTGGTTAATACTGTAATCGATGTATGTTTTGTTAGGTACAATAAATAATCAATTAATGTTTCAACTTGATTCAAGAATTGGCGTGGGGAAAATAATGTGTTCATTACCTCAGGAGACCAAACCATACATATTTAATCATAACTAAAGGTGTCAAAAGTCGCCAATAAATAGGGTTGCCCTGACTGGTTGTGAAGGTTGTTGGAAGTGGGTGGAGTCACTGAAAACCGATTCCAAGCACTGTTCTTCACGACAGGGACATTATGTAATAGTGGAGCATGAACATACTCTCCAAAGAGACACAACTCAGAACTCTTTAGTTAACGTAACACTTGCCTAACTATTCCACTTATTTACAAGTAGTGTGTATGTAGATCATCAGATAAAGTCAAAGAAAATACGACGTCCAACATGGACTATCTATGGTAGACTTTCCTACTAAACAACTCGCGACTAACGCAAACTATAGTCTCCGAAGATAAAAATCAGGACTCTCACTCCCTCAGAGTCCAGACACCAACTAACGTCAAAATCACATCTCTCCTACCCCGGTTACCTCTTCACACATTCACGTGGACCTGTTGACCAGAATCTCACCTACCCGTGCAAGCCATAGTAGATTAAAACTATAGCCTAAATTTAGACCTACCCTATCAAACACAGTTTGTAACTGAAAAATTGTCTATACCAATGATACCCAGCCTAATTCGATCTGCGGGCCATTTTATTTTCGACACTCGTCTCAAAACGAAACGAAATTGACCAGAAATTTTTTGATTAGAAACCCGTGGATCTAGTACTTACATTAATTATTATATTTGAAGGTTATCTTTTTTTTTAAATAAAATTTTACGGCTCAGTAAATCGCTTCATTTCTCTATTTAAAATACGAACAACATTGTAGCTAGCTTTACAACCGACTCATTTTCTTTTTGTTTTTTTTATACATAAATATTCCCATCGATCTTCCGATCTCTGGGCGTAGTTTAACCAATCTTTTATACTCGGCTCAAACCAAGAATGTCGACATATTTTTTTCATAATGAGGTTTTTATGTGTTTTTTTTTTAAACAGCCAAACTTTCTTAACAAAACAAAGATGTTGGCTTATTAACATGTTACACAAAAAAAAGTAAACATCTGTTCACTTTTTCTGCTAGACTTTACATTCAGATCCATTTCATGAAAGAACAAATGTTAAAGGTCATGGTACCAATCCATTAGATAAAAGTGACGGCCCTAAAGTAGGTTTTTGGAGAAAAAAAAAAGGAGGGGGGTGGGAGTGTTCTACACTTTGTTTCAGTGGGCTGGATCTGGCCCGCGGGCCGTATTTTGTACTTCACTAGTCTATACTATTGTCTAATACTACTATGCAAAGTTTCAACTTGATCCAAGAATGGGTGTTGGATACATGAGTACAAACTTTTTACCAGACAGACATAATGAGTTGATAACAGCTTTGTAGACACTAAAACATAGAATACATAATTCAATGATATAAAAAAAAAAAAACAGGACTTAAATTTCATTCCTAAAATGTTTATTAAATTAGGCTCTACTATTTTCATTGTGCTCTAACGTTAAAGTAAAATGTGTATTAAAATATCAGCCATGTTTGAGAAACACTTTTAAGCTTTTGAAATTTTTACTTAGGCCTACAACAATACTAATGTTTGAAACTTAGGCCTACTCATGTGATGGTTTACAAGAATTTCTTGACTAGAAATAATTTGCTCATGCTACTTTGTTGTTAATTTACTGTCACTGATTCCTTATTATATTTATAATAATAACTCGATAGCATCTACTTTAGGTCTCGATACGTCTAGGTGTCCTTGGTTCAGTTCTAGTTAAAATAAATAAAACAATGAAACCACAAGATCGAACACATAAACTTTAATCAGCTTTACTGCATATTACACACGCTGGTCTCTGTCTGATCAACAAAACACACTTCCGGTCATTCGCGCAGACTGTAAAAATAGATTATACATACATACACACATTCAATTAATCAATTTTGACAAAGATACATAAAACACGATAACAAACCAAGTATCAAACATTACACCACAATACAACAAAAATATGACCCGCAAAAGGTGAGTCATGGCTTAACTCCAAAATTCTTGTTCTTTCGGCGACAGGAAGGACTAGCTGTAGTTTAGCTTTGTTATCTTGTCTCATCAGAAGCCCATTTTTCACTTTAAATTTACTGGTGGGACGCTTCGCCAATTCAAAAAGCTTAACCGATGATTGGTCCTCTTTTTGTTTCAATGCATAACTGGATGTCACATCTGATTCTGGCTGTTCAATCTGACTATGTAGGATCGGTTGTTCCATGTTTTATATTACACCAGATTGAGATCTAGTTACCGCATTTGTAACTTCTGACATTGCTGACCTTTGCCACTTGTAGATATCTGTGATGGTAGGCTCAGTTATGCCAGTCACGTTTCCTTTCATGTAGAACAGGACAGCACGAACAACGATACAGCATTGTAGAAAGAGAGTGCTTGGCAGTTGTTTGGGCAGTAACCAAGTTGGTCAGATACCTGTTGGGCAGAACATTCGTACTCCGCACAGATCATGCACCCTTACGCTGTTTAAACACACGTAAGTCGTTGAATTCCAGGGTAACTCGCTGGGTCCTGATGCTTCAGGACTTTCAGTTCGAAGTGCAGCATATTCCAAGTAAAGGAAACGTCGTAGCGGACATTCTGTCACGCTTATCATAGATATAAGCCTACGTGGCTTCTCACTAGCATGTGTTGCTTCATCAGGGACTTTGTGTCTTCAACAGTTTAGACGTTTAGACTTTGTTGCTTGATGGTAGACTTTCTGTCTACAACTAAGACTTTGTATCTTCATATTTTAAGACTGTGTGTCTTCAGCTTTTCAGACTGTGTGTCTTCATCTTTTCAGACTGTGTGTCTTCATCTTTTCAGACTATGTGTCTTCATCTTCTAAGACTGTGTGTCTTAACTATAGTCTGTGTGACTACATTAAAGTCTGTGTGACTACATTAAAGTCTGTGTGACTACATTAAGGTCTGTGTGACTACATTAAAGTCTGTGTGACTACATTAAAGTCTGTGTGACTACATTAAAGTCTGTGTGACTACATTAAAGTCTGTGTGACTACATTAAAGTCTGTGTGACTACATTAAAGTCTGTGTGACTATGTTCAAGTTGTTTGGATACATAAACGCCTGTGTGGCATACCCAGAGCCCCTTGTGGCCTATCGAACGAACATGTTTGTTGTATTGTGGTGTAATGTTTGATACTTGGTTTATAATCGTGTTTTATGTATCTTTGTCAAAATCGATTATAATTTTAGGAGGGGCGAGATGTCACGTTTCCTAGAATCAAGTCAGCTGCAGGTCTCTCCAACACACATGCTTCAACTTTCCCAGATAAAAATGGCGTATCAATGTCAATGACAGCCGTGGGATATTCATCAATTGTTCCTCCAAATGTCATATATTGGACTTTCTTACCCGTCAACTGGTGAGGGTGCACATGTAGTCTCTTCAATCCGATTGTGGTCGCTCCTGTGTCTCTCAGGACCCAAATAGATTTCTTCCCAACGAATCCAGGATACATTTTTAATTTCCCGGCGTCACAAGTTACAGCTCCAGCCATCTGGATCTGATCAGATTCATGAGGTAGTTGTTCACCATGTTGATAGTCTATGCAAACTGACGCATTGTATGGATGTCCAGTTGGTCTTCCCCTGTTGCTGGTTTTAAACTCCTGACTTCTGCTTGAACCCAGTCTCATTTCGTCTTAATGGACTTTTGTTTCTACATTGGGCTGCTAAATGTCCCGTTTTGAAACACTTAAAAAATTTTCTTTTTTTCACCCACACTTCTTTTCTGCAGACGGTCCTGTCTCCCTTCTTGTTTAAAGCGACTTCTGTTATCATTAGTCTTTGCAGCAAAGGCAA